AGAAATAATTTTAGGGTCAAACTGGGTAAAAGTGGTCAAACATCGTCAAGGTAGATCATTTATAGCGATCGCTGGTTGGAGGCCATCAACACTTTGAAAGTGAAAGTGAGCTAAGCACCCGCTGGCGAACAATGATCATCACCACATCAAACACCCTCGCCATCTTATCCCCCTAAACACTACAAGGATTGACCATACAGTGGCTTCTTTCACGCTTTTGGTTGAATGCACTTGAAATATTTCAACCCAGAGGAACATTTGTACCCGAAGTTTACTGTTATGAAATTGCGTAAAAATCAAAGTTACTTAACGGTGAAGGGAACATCCTTCAGCATAATCCGATCCGACCCAAGGCCCACAAAACAATGATGACCTCCCACAAAGTTTAAGAAATAAATCGGAGTGGAGGGGGGGGGGGGTTCAATCACATCACATCGTCAGGACAATGGAGCGCGCTCCTCGAGAAAACTACTTCAAACAGCGATTGGAGTGAAAAACGGCACTAACAGATATTTAATTCAAAGCAGTAATGATCTTCAAAATGATTATCAGAATGTCAATGCTGGCGGAAGTTACATTGTTCCCCCCCCCCCCCCCCCCCCCCCCGATCACGTGCATAAAGGAGAAATGCGAGATGTCTCATTTCCAGCCGTAATATTGACCAATTTTAATGTCAAACTGGGTAAAAGTGATCAAACGTCGTCAAGATGAATCATTTATAGCGATCACTGGGTTGAGGCCATCAACACTTTGAAATAAGCACCCGCTGGCGAATAGATCACCACGAGCGCAATATTGTCCAGTCACTCAAATGATAAGAGGGAGGAAAGAACTTCAACTTGAAGCAACACTTCCGCCACTTTGTCTCCTCCATATACACACACTCTCTCTTTTGCTAATTGGATGTACTACCCACGTATAACGCGCATTTACAATGGGTTGGAATGCACCTCATAAAAGAAACCCATAAAACTTTATACCCCGCCGTGGAGAACAAATCAATAAAAATTGTTCAAGAGGAACCTTATCCATATCATTTTTTTTTAACAACTAGGACACA